ATATACCTACAAAAGGATTCCCTGTGCCGTGTCGTCGTTATAGAGTAAATTAAGAAGGCTACTACTCTGTAACAATATAATCGAACAAGACCATTTCTATAAAAATTGAACATTCATATATAACCATCTCGATTCATTTCCTGGGCATGCTTAAAAAGATCATGTTGAGTAGGATCAGGATGATAAAATGCGAAGGTAAGTTCATTAACAAGCTGCCATAATGCTTCAGTATATTGGATAACTTTACATTTTCCTACATTAATCTGATTATATTCTACAAATTCATCGTATAACAATAACACTCTCTCATGTTTATCTTGGATTGCCATAATTTTTTGTTTAAGGTTAGCTGGGTCTGATAAACCAGAAGTAGACAAATTTTGCTTGACAAATTTAACGCCGTATTGCTCCAAGGCTTCATCAAAAGCTAAATAGTGGTTTTCTCTAGTAATATTTACTGAAGCAACGTGCTTGAATAGCTCGTATTGCTGTGGATGGCATGACACAGATTCTAAAAAGGTTATGACTGATGATGTATAAATATTCTTACCAGTAGCAGGAAATAAGGGTGCAAATGCTGCTAAGCTTTTTAATTGCATATCCACATTATCCAAACGAATACCTATACGATAGGCTTTCCAATACCCGGCTAAACGGTAAAACAAAAACCACACTTTTAAAATATTATTATTTCCTCTAAATATAGCTTCTACATCTAATGGCATATTGTTATTATTTAAATGAAGGTGAATTGCTATTCCAACAGTGGTGTGTATTAATTCCAATACTCTACAAGTTGCGCGATAGTCTACGTTTTGTTCTAGCTTGTCAAGAAATCGAACGCCAAGCTTTGCCGCCATGCTATAAAGACCGTATCCACTAAATCCTGCAATCAAAGCACTACACATAGCCTTTGAAGTATGCCATTGCCCAAGGATAAATCTACAAGCTAAGTTGTTATTTTTATATGTTTTTGTTCTTGCAAAAATAGCCGCATTACATGCTAAATCAACAACATCTTGTTCAAGATCTTCTAAATATGCATCGATTGACTTAAATACGGATTCATTACTATTAGGTTCTGGTCCAAGCTCTAATATAACAATGTTTGGTGGGTTTACTTGGTATCCTGATTCAACAATAGTAAGGATTTCATTATTAATTTCTTCAATTCCAAAATTTTTGTTATGCTTATTTATTAATTGTTTTATTATTATATCAAATTTTTCATCCTATTCAGACGTAAATGCCGATTGACCAAATAGGTTTTCTTGAGATTGTGGATTTTCTTGAGTAAGAGATGATAAATTGAATGGAAGTTCAAATTGAAACACCATTCTAAGAGTAGCATGTGAAGATTGCCGGGTAACATCATATATATTCTCATATTTAAAAACTATATTTTTGAAGTCTATATTATCAATCACAGCAACGTTCCATATATTTGGACCTTTAATTAATCTTGTTAAAGGATTAGACTTATTTATGCTGTTGAGTTTGAAAACGGCGAGTCTGTCGCTAGAAGACCAGAATTCTCGCACTACGTCAATTTCAAGGCTTGAATAG